TCTTATTGTATACGTTGTCTGTTTATACTGACAAAAATAAATAGGGTAATAAAATTTGATTTTAAAAAATGAGCAACACGTATTTTTAGACTGATTAAAAGATTGATTGTTTTAAGCAAAAAAATAAAATAAAATTTTTTTCATACAGGTCAAAACCTAAAAGTCTACAATAACCAATAGTCTATTTTAAAAGATTCTTACAGATAAAGTCGCTAATTTAAATGGCCCAAAAAGTTTCCTCTATTGGAAGAAAGTTTGCAACTGATTGTTTCCACAAAACAGAAATGTTTCATTATTCAAGCGACGATTCTTCCAATGAAAAATCATAGAAACAAAAAGCAAGAATAAAAAACTTCTTTTTCACAGAGAAAACTGATTGAAAAATATTAGAAACCTCGTAACGATGCGGTAATAATGTACGACACATTAACGGAAGCATATTCTGATGACGTTGCGCAGCTAATGCCTGATACTGATCCAGTTGATCATGTGCATAATAATCGTACAAAGCATCCATTGCTACAACTTTTTCCTCATCATCACAGCGTCCATCCATCAATTTTTTCTGAACAAATTAACTACACTAATCTGTTGGATTATTGTTGCTCTGCTGTATTGATCTGACAAAATTCAAACCAAAAATGCTTTCACTAATTTGAAATAAATCTTGACAAACATACTCGGCATTCATACTGACAAATTTGGAAGTAACATTTCATGCTCATTTCGATATATGTAGCGTTCTTATATTTTGACAGTTTTAAATTGGCCAAATAGGTTTGCTCTTCGGGTTTTAGGCGATAGCGATTGGATACTTTAGTACAGTATCGATTACAGGTATGATGAGCACCAGTGGCTGTTAAACTAAAAAGAACTATTACTGAAACTTACGAGCAAGTAAACTTACTGTTGTATCGTATACAGTGTACATCTGTTGCCATGTATACAAACTTATATTTGATCAAAACAATTTAAACTACAATTCCCCAAGTTCAAATATTTACATTTTATGAAACAAAAACTTGATGTATGAGTTACCAAGATAGTGATTCATAAAGTTTGAAAAGTTTCAGGAAAAAAACTTTGTTGGAAAGACTAACTTGAAGCATTTCAATGAGCTTAAAAACTGTTGCTTTCGGTAGAGGCACAAATGCACATCAGTAGACCAGGGTACACGACGTCGATGAATACCGCAGTTTTGTTTGAAACACAAAATCTTACGCATTGTCATTCTGCAGAATGCAAGAAAATTCTGTCGACTCCAAGTTATCGTTGCATCCAGTGGAAATTCATAGAAATCTTTATCAAAATTTTTTTGAAAATATACCTAAAAGAAGACGAATAAACAGTTGGAGAAGCATATAAATGTTTTCCAATTTATAAATTGAAAAAAAAAAAAAAAAAAA